TTTTTTTTTTTAATTCATTAAGGTGCGCCTAATGCTGCGGTCATTGGCACCATAACCGGAGAGGAAAATCTTTATGGACACCCTAACGTTACGCTGGGTAGTTCCGGACTCTTACCGGCTAAAAACCTCTCCTGACTAGATTTAACGAAAAAATTAACAAATAAATTGTTAAGCATGATAAAATAAATGACATACAATAAAATGGGACTTGCTATCACAGATGTTACTTTAAATTTTATTTAAAAATCCAGTTTCACTAAGAACTTTCTCAATATGAATTGAATTATAATCAAGCATTTCTTTTAGTTGGACGTGGAAGATACTATGGTTTACTCTTTTCTAATGTAAAGAGAGACATTCGACAAGAATGTGTCTCACCGAAAGTACTTCACCACAGTTTTCACAGGTAGGTACCTCAACACCTTCCAGGAGGTAATATTTGGAAAGATTGGTGTAACCCAACCTTAACCTTGTTATAACAACTTGTTGCTTACGGCTCAAGGTAGATGCTTTGCATCCACTTACCAAGTCGGTTATATTATTATAATCCTATCTTTAATATTTTTTGTAACCTGAGTCTTTTCTAATTTAGGCGTTGAAGATCCTCCAGATATTCAACAGTCCAGGGTGAATTATTGGGAACAAATGAAGAGTCGTCGACCGGCATGTTTGGGTGCAGTTTCACCTAACTGGCCTTGGAAATAAATTATGTGTACCTAGGATTTCTCAAGGCTACGACGTCATTATTAGGATATAGATGGACAAAGTTGGCAATTCCCCATTATCTGCACTTGGCAATGTAACATTCTTCTATTTTCCATTGTAGTATGGTTTCCATTTAAAAAATATATAAGAGTATTAACAAAAATAAAATTAATAATTAAGTTTATTTATAAGAAAGTACAAAGTAGAATATAAGTAAGAATAAAATATATGTATAAATATCACAGTTAGTTATCACAGGTTAATATCAGGAATTGTTATCACAAGATAAGTTTTGCGAGCTTTTACGGGCAGAGAGGGGGGAGGGACCTTACGCTCTTGCCATCCTGGTTACTTCTTTTTTTCTTTTCCTCTTATCGGCATAAGAATGTACAATAGATGATTCAGTGTCTGACTCTGTCTCGGACACTGCGTTTTTCGGCAAGGCATCAGTTTGTGAATCAGTATACCATCTTTTTTAGTTTGAATGCTCCCTGATCTTGCAAGTGCATTTTTAATTCTTAAATTAAGTAGTTTAATAAATTACTACATTATACGACGCCTTAACTATAATTTAATGTTGAGTCAGTTTTTACTTCAATGTGAATAAAACGTACTTAGGAGGACCTAGTGTTCTATGTCCGATAATATATTTAACGTTTACGTTTATTTTATTAAAAAAAACGCTGCAGTTAATTTGAGTGTAGTACGGAAGCGTGCTCGAAATGTGTAGCGTATTCGAAAAAGTTTTCCGGGAAATTTTTCAAGGAAAAAAATCAAAATAATTCCTAGAATCTGTTTATTTAAAATCGAAGAATATTGCAGTACATAATTTAGTGAGCAAATACTTAATTGTCATTGTTTACTTGTAAATATGCATTTTAACATTGTTATTAATAATATAATATTACTTTATTATATTATAATAATTTTATATAATAATATTATTATAATAATTTTATTATTATATTATATATTAATACTATTATTTATTATCTAATGCTTTTAGAAAAAAATTGAATAAGATTTTTATAACTTTAAAAAGAAAAATCAATTAAATTCATATATGCTATAGCAATGTTTAGTTTTATTTGTATTTTTTCTAATAAAATATTTATAAAGGATTTTTAAAAATTAAAATTAGGATAAGTTGTTAATTCCTACTTTTATTAAAATGTGTATATTTTTTAAGAAATTTCAATTTTCCCAAAAAAAAACAATTTTTCCAAGGCCTGGGAAAAAACGGAAAAAAACTGTTTTTCCCCAATTTTTCCGGTTTTTTTCCGACACTTTAAAACCCTATGTCTGACCCAGAATTTTCTTAGGATTCCAGATATGTAAAAATATATAGGGCGTTTCATTTAAAAATCGAATCGGCGAAACCGGTTCAAAAAATTTTTTACTCTAATAATAATAATTATTATAGAGACATTTTTTATCCTTATCAAGCATGCTAAATTTCATGAGTCTATCTTTATAAATAAAAAAGTTACAGGTGCGCCTATTCTTAGATACACCCGGTATACAAATATTTAAAATTAAAAAACTATTTAAAATTAAAATTTAAAAATTATTTAAAATTAACAAAACTATTATTTCACTTTTATTTATAATAATAATAATAATAATAATAATAATAATAATAATAATAATTAATAATAATAATAATAATAATAATAATAGATGAATAATTAAGGTATATTTAATTTAGCATGTTATGTTATGTTACACTTAAGTGTCTTTATGGTATATTTTTATTTAATAATTTGTCAAAATTCTCTAAATAATTTTAAGTTGTCTTATTTTTTTTTTATAAAAAACAATATGAAAACCTCATTATAAATTAAATCTTACCCGAGTTGAGTGAAGCCGGACCTGACGCCGTTATTCAAGAAAACCTGATCTGCGATCTACAGAGTGTGCGCGAAGCATCCCCCTGCTCACCGCATTCCCATCACTGAGGCTTCAATGAAAGAAAATAGCTAGTCTAGTTGGTCTGTGAATGTGTTACATGTTTATTAATTTCATTACCTCAACATCAGGGCCGGCCCGAGGTACGGGCGAACCGGGCAACCGCCCCGAGCGGCATAATGGGGGGGGCGGCATTTTTACGATTTGTTAATGATAATCAATTTTATTCAACATACTAAACATTTTTCGATTGGCGATTTTTTCGCGCGATTACGCCCGAGAAATGCAGTTTAGATAATTTAATATCTTTGTTACAAAGATTTAATAGAGGCGCTCTCGGAAGACGACCCTGACGCCCTCTTTCATTCGTTTCTTCAATCACATCCTGTAGTTTTCTATAATTTTGTTTGACAATTAACAATTAATAATTGACAAATATTATATCACGTGCATTTGCACTGATTTTAAAATCAGTGCATAGATAAAGTAATTTGATAATTAGAAGTATAAAATGTCTGGAAAACGCAAAAAAGATTCAGGGAAATTTTTATAAAAACAAAAGAAGGGCGCGTGCGGCGGAAAATCGAGTACTAGCAGCAAGCTTTTCCAAATTCTTGCAAAAAGAACCATCGTAGGCAGGTATAATAATTATACTATAATTAAACAATATTGCATATATGAAAATGAGGTTTAATTTTTGTTGTGTACATCTAAACATTGTTTTTAGAGGTCTAAAATCAATCTTCTGACGTGCATCACAGCAGGATTCGGTTTTGCCAAAGTCCGCTAAACTCATTACGTAATTATTAAGTTAATTTACTTTTTTTTTAAAGAGGATTCACCTAAAGTAAGTAGGTTACTTAAAATGTTCGGGTGCACTCGGTCTGTACACTTTTACATTAAAAATACGAAATTTTAACAGGAATTAAATATGGATGTAATAATCTATAGCTATAGCTCGCGGAATATTGCGAAAGTAAATTTTAACAAACTAAAGAATTCTTGTAATATAAAAATATTGTTTAATTATACTCACTATACACAGGTGGCTGGAAAGAAAAAAAGGTTTTCCCACGATGCCTAAACAACTCATTAGCATCCGGTGTTTCCTTAGCTCCCCCTGAGATGATAAAACTTCATCCTTAAATCGTAGCTGTTCATTTGAGGAAAAACCACCCCATTTTATGGGTGATGATTAGAAAGTTAAAAGAAAAACAAAATTAAATAATCCAAAGTGATTTTAAATTGGCAGAATACATATTTAAGAAAGAAAAATTTATTTAACACAAGGAACATGATAATAAATAAGTTATACATTTTTTAAATATGCTTGGAAGAAAAGTCCACTACCGCTTCCTTTAATTTCACAGCATAATTCTGGTCCATGAGGTTATTTAATTTTCGCCGGTTCCAGAACTTCAAAAATTCGCGATGGATTGATTCTCCTGCTTGCTCCGACCAAATGCCAAATCCTTCCTCTCGCTCCAAAAACTCTAGGTATTGCTCAAGATGATTTAGGCATATGTGAATCTTTAATGTTTCAGTTACGTCTGTGGCCGCAAGAGATTTTTTTAACTCAGTTTTGTACATATGCAAGTTTCCGCCAAGCCTCATATTCGAAAAACAATCATGAACTATTTTATCGAGTGCTTTAAAAGCTGACACATACGGGACTAGGGCTAGCGGACCACCAATATGATCACACAATTTATGACTTAATAAAAAATCAGGTTCTTTCAACATCTTTCTACATGCATTTCCTTCAAAAGAATCACCGTGGTAGTTTTTAGATATTAATTTTAGATGCTGCGGCCAGATTAAGGCTTTTTCTTTTCCCAAAAGAGGCACTAGGCCTTTTCAAAAAATGTGGTTAACAAGACCTTGCAATATATGCAATTCCGGCATTACGCATTTTTCAATAACAGGCATGTCATCGGGCTCGGAAAATAACGGAGGGTTGATGGTGCTGTGGCTTGATTTGGCCGATTTTTTATTGCCACCAAAATATATAAATTCCTTGTAATCTTGTCGCAAATTTCCGTATGTTTTTACCACAAGATCCTGTTCATCATTCTCGAGTTCGATCCGAGTTTTTAACTTTTGTAAAGTTACGAAGCAATATGGACAAGGGAAGGTTGCGGTGGCAGTTTGTTGTCCATTAATGATCAGAAGCAATTTAAAATCCGCAACGAACTTAAACGGAATATCATTGATCTTTATTAAGTCGAACAGCTTTTTGACATTTTCATAACTTTCTTTGATGTGGGGCACAATACACAGCATGATTAATTTATGTACACTGGTTAATTTTTCAACCTTTAGTCTCTTTACCCGAGTAGTATCTGTAGCAAGATCTGGATCAGACACATAACATTCCGGCAGTATAGTCATACACACTTTAAAAATCCCTGGCCACCATCTGCCATTATTTTCATGACATAGTTACCAACTAAACGTCTCCTCTGAATAACCTCCTCCAGTATTTCTTCTGAATTACACCACACTACAGGTCTTTTCTGTTGAACTTCACTTTTTTCAATATCAAAATCTAATATCTTATATCTGTAAAAATCTTCCAAAACTCTAGCCCTTTCTGCAACTTGCTTGAAATAATGAGCAGGTATTGATTTTCGACCAGCATTTGCTCGAATAAATGTAGCCAATTTTTTTATTTGTTGTCCTGAAGAACCCGAATGAACCTGGTAGGTATGTAAACTTTCAAAAGAAAGCACGATAGGTTCAGCCGGTTTTTTGAAATACAGTTTTCTTTTCCGCCCCCCTGTACTTACAGTCAATGAATCAACTTTATGTCGTGTCGATAATAATACACTCTTTTCTTTTTGATGTATAAGCTCACTACAAACCTGCTCTTTTTGCTTCTGTGGGAGATTATTAGTTAAATGTAATATATTTTCTGCCAGCTTTCTTTTTGAACAAGTATGTTTTGTACAGGTGTGAGATATGCCCCTTCCAATTTCTTGAAAACATTGGTTGCATAAAGTTTTGGCATTTTTTCCTGTTCTTTCGGTGTTACGGGTGCTAACTTGGTCACTTTTGAATTTCGCGATCCAAACTGTCCAGTTTTAGTCTCGATTTTTAGAGATAAATTCAGGCTGTTACCTACTTTATTTTTTTTTTTCATATTGACTGATCCTTTGTGACGCACTGTCAAACAAATATAACACTGGCAAATTGCATCTTCATCACTTGCTCTAGTTTTTTTCGGCAGAAAAATGTCTTCATAATTCGGCATTGTCTTAAAAGGCCTTTGAAAATTATTTTTAGAATGATCTGCAAGTATCTTGCGACAATTACAACAAATGCTAAGAGGATATTTAGGATTAGAGAAAGAAAAATTGGTATTTATGAATTGCTGTATAAGCTTTTCGCCATTTCCTGTAATACGGAAATATTCCATTTTTAGATTTCCGAGACTAATTTTTCTCCCGCACGGTGCACAAAGCTTCCTTCTATTTTCTTCATGGTCACAACGGTGGTCACAAGGATGAGGCATTTTGATTTTGAAAAGTTCACAAATATAAATATATATATATATATATATATATATATATATATAATATATTATATAATATATATTATATATATATTAATTTACTAGTTTATACTAATTATATAACTCAATAAAACAAATTATCTATTAATTTGTTGGGTTGTCATATCATGACATATGTCAAACCCCCTTCCCTCTTTTTGTAAAGCTATCGTATCGCTTTTTGCAGTTTAACTGTTTGATATATGGATTGTGAATCTTTCGTATAGGTGATGTTTCGATTTCGAGTTTTTTTTTATTGAGAATATGTTTTTGACAGCTTGTATCTAAATAGAGAACCCCTATAAGAATACACATATGCTAGAGTTAAATAGATATTGTCAAAATTATTTTAAAAACATTTTTGATCATTCGAAAAAAAATTGGTAACCCCTGAAACACAAAAAGGGGTGATTCTTCCCTAAATGAACAGCTACAATTTAGGAAGGAAGTTTTCTTGTCTCATGGGATGCTAAGGAATCACAAGGTACCAATGATTTTTTTTTGGCATCGTGGGAAAACTTTTTTTTCTTTCCAGCCATCTGTGTATAATAGTGACACTATATATGGGATATAATCATTGACAAGTGATGCAATTATGTATATATACAATGTATATATACATAATTGCATATATTATACATATTTAAAAAACTAAAAAGGGGGCGGCAAAAATATCTTCGCCCGGGGCGGCAAAAAAAGTCGGGCCGGCCCTGCTCAACATTTATGCAAACTTGAAAATGGAAGTCTGCGATATTGGAAAACTTACTGATACTAAATGTCACTTGGATACTTACTTTGCTTCAAAAACTGTACATGATGTTCAGCAGTTTGTAAACGAAGATCGTTTACTTTTAAAGTGTAGATTAAATAATACCGATACTATTTCAAAAATTTGTGATTACCACAAGTGTCAGTACATAAATTATTATAGTGTGCAGTTCCGCAAGTGTTGTGATCCATTCAAAATTCACAAAAGAATTATACGCACAGATTTAAGAATTTTAAGTTTGGAGCTTTGTACAAATGCTTTAATTGATCTTTCATTAAATCTTATGCCAGGTGACAAGATATGTAAACGGTGTGACAATAATTTACGTCAGAAAATTGAAATACAAAAAAAATACTTACACTACTACCCAAAAAACAACTGCCCAATGTAATTCGATTGAAGAAAGTAATTCTGTAGAAAATGGAAAAGGATTACGACGATCTACTAGAGTTTCGGTACAGACAAAAATCACAAGCCAGGAAATCATTGATATTTTTCCACGTACTGATTCTACAAATTCCTCTCATTTAACATCAAGTGGTTCTGAATTTATGACTGCAAGTCAGGATAAAGGAGTAATTGATAACATTTTGACAAGTCTAGATTTACCGACGTACAAGCAGCAAGCATTTTATAAAACAAAATCTCAAGTTCAAGCTGAAAATTTAGTTCAGGAGGTATCTAATAAATTTGCTGAAAAATTATCTAAAGCTGCCGATTTTAAAATAACATTACCTGCATCAGTATGTACTAATTTATATCAAGATAGTTTTGCTTTGAGAGAAATGATTATAAATTTGAGACATTTGTTTGATAATGCTAGAACGAATTCGGAGAAATTAGAGTACTTAGCTTTGTTACCAAAAGATTGGACACTACCAAGAGTTTTGGAGTCTTTTAATTGTACCAATTATATGTGGTCAAAACTTAATAAATTTAAACAAATGGATTGTAAGTTTGTAATAATATTTGTAAAATATTGTCTTATTTATTATAATTTGGTTTAGTTAATCGTTAATTTATTTTTAAGGATATCCGGCAAAAATCTATGAAAGAAAGAAAACTTTAAAATTTGGTCTGGAAATACAAAACAAGATCATAGATTACTACAAAAGTGATGAAAATTCTTCTACTTGTCCTGGAAAAAAAGATTACGTCACTTTTAAAGGTGAACAACAACAGAAAATTTTCATTCAGAAGAGATTGTTGCTTTATACGCTACATGATCTGTATATTAAATTCATTGATGAAAATTCGGGTACTGACGAAAAATTGCCTAAGTTTTCTTACTTTGCTTCGTTAAAACCGCAAGAAATCATCCATGCGGGAGATCCTGGAACCAATAATATTTGTGTCTGTGCGCAACATGAAAATGTCAAGCTTAAGCTTTAACTCGAAAAATTAAATATCGAGATTTATTACAAAGTGCTGTTTGCAACATAGATAATGAAAATTGTATGCTTCATAAATGTGATAATTGTCCGAAAATCATGGGAATAAAAGAAGTCTTTGCGGAAAATGATATAGAATGTGAAAAAGAAAGTGTTAGTTACAAAAGTTGGGTAGATGAAGGAAGTCGAGCATCATTAAAAACTATTTTAGAGAAGAGTGAAGATTTTAAATCAGCATTATATAACGACATTTGGCATTTAACACAACATCATTATATAGCAGATGCTCAAAAACGTTATCTCAATCACTGTAAAGCTAATTTAGAATTCCGTTCAAGCCTTTTATTACAACAATTATCAAGCAACTCTTCATCCTTTTGCTATATATTATAAAAATGAAGAAAATGAATTATTGAACATCAACTTTTGCGTAATAAGTGATTCAACCGACCATTATGCATCCACAATACATGATTTTACAGATAAACTGATGTCAACAATAAAAGGAAAATTACACTGGATAAAAAAAGTCATATACTTTTCAGATGGAGCACCAAGTCAATACAAAAACAAGTAATGAAATATTTAAAATTATAAGCTTAATGATCCCTGATTATTTTTTATTAAATTAAGTCAAAAGCTTTCTTTAAGTAGATGCTAATATTTTAACACTATTACTCTATACTATTATGTATCATTTTAATTGCGTACTTTGTTCTAGAAATCACTTAGCAAATATATATTGTCATGAAGAAGACTTCAACATTAAAGTAACTTCATAAATTTTTTTTGCGACAAGTCACGGGAAATCGCTTTGTGATGCAATTGGTGGGATTATTAAAAGATTAGTTCTGCGATATTGTCTACGAGCTCCACCAGAAAAACAAACGAACAAAGAAACGTCCAGACAAATCCCTATTATAATTATTTAAAAAATGATTTTCGACCTCTAACTCCTCCTTTAAATATACGTTTTGTTTAGTATCGAACTCCTCAACCAGCCAAAATCTTTCAATTTTAGAATCTATGCTTGACAATGAACTTAAATGCGATTGAATCTGATTAGCAGATATATTAGTTAATGAACCTGATACAAGCCATCCTAAATATGATTTTTGCAAAATTATATTATTGTTTAAATTTATTTGACCCACACACAGCAAGTCAAAAAATATGCCCGAGCCAAGTAATAAGTCTACCTGAGTCGGAATGTTGAACTTTGGATCTGCAATAGATATGTTGGTTGGAATTTGTATAAATGTTTTTTCAAATGAAACTGATGGTATAGTACCTGTAATTTTATCGAGAATTAAAAATAATATGTTGTTTTTATATGCATTGTAAGTGGACTGTATTGTAGCATTTGTGAATTTGGATATATTGAAATTTGAAATATTTATGCCTGTAATAGGTAAAATAATATTTTTTGAATTTAAATTGAGTTTGTTGAATAATTCTTGAGTCATGAAATTAGCTTGACTGCCAGAGTCCAACAGAGCCCGACACTGTACCGGTTGTCCATTGGAATTAAATATTTTCACTATTGCTGTTTGCAATAAGATTTGTGAACATATATGATAATTACAATGAGCATTGATTATTTGGTTATTTTGAGAGTTAAGATTTTGATTTTGTTCGTTATTTGAGGTGGTGGAGTTATTATTTTGGGGTTGCATGCTACGGTTAATGTTGGAATTATGATTTAAGTTTTGTAAAATTTCAATATGTAAAAGCGTATTATGTTTTTTGCATGAACCAGAAAAACATGAATTAGTGGAATGTCCTGATTTTAAACAATTTATACATAAATTTAGCCTTTTTATTTCATTAAAACGTTGCTTGGGATCAAGTGCTGTGACAATAAAAAATGATATGTGAACCCTTACAAAATTTACAAGTGATATTTTGATTATGATTTGTTTCATTAGTTGATACGTGTGAGTATGATTTAACGAAAGTTTTATCAT